TTATTTTAGTATTGTCGAATGATCTTTTGATCCAATATAAGATCATGTAGAGTTGTTGATAAATTGACTTTGAAAAAGGAAACACTCTCGATAGGACTCCCGAGTTTCTGGATATTTTCTCTGAAATATCAATACATCGCTTGAAAACAAAGAATAGAAAAACAATTACTAATTAATGAAAGAATCCTAGTAACTATAAAGTTTCTGTTTTAAAAATTCATACATAAAATATAGCTATAAATAATATGTTTGTGAAATCTGTCAATACTCGAATAACTATGGTTACCTTTTTACTTGGTTACGTGATTGCAAGCTTTTATTAAAATAATGAGTAAAGAATTATACACCTAATATCCTTGACCGCAAAGTCGGCTTGTTTGATGTGACTGCCGAAGATGGCACCTCACCGCATCACTGAGGCCGTTAGCAATTCATAAACATAAAAAAGCGTTAATGATGCTGCAATTTGCAGATACCACACATAGTACAGTACAGTATAACCATGTTCATAAGTTACACAGATGTACCTGGGCAGTAGTTTCATTTTTGAAAGGTACGAAATAATATTAGTTAACCGTAAAGCTTCCGCACCTAATGCTTTGGTTTGATTTTGGTTAATTACCCGCAGTTTCGTATTCTTCACATGTCTCGACACCCGCGTTTTGCGAAGACGAATTCTGCCAATACTACTATAAAAATGGTAGTGTCTGTAAGTGTTTATAATAATACGATCACCAACAGACATTTAGAGTCGGCCCTGCCACACTGAAAAAGGATCTGCGCTTATATTGTCATATGTTTGTACTTATACTAACTTTGAACATATGTTCGAGTAACAAACGGTGCAGAGGACATTTTTTTCCTTTTCTACTATTGTATTACGGAGCTAAGCACCACATGCTTTCTTAAATGATTGGCATTTCAAGTTTTCATTATATTAAGCAATAGATAACCTAGATATGTACTTATTTTTAGAACACTTTTGCTGTAGCTTTACCGGATATTTTAATTAAGTAGATCTGAAAAGATAACTTTTATTTTTAACATAAATAAGCTTTAAAGGAGTTTCCACTTTTTTACATATAAACTAAAGATGTAACCCAATTTTTAAATTTTTAAATTCCCTTTCAAATAACGAATATCTCAGCCGATAATTTAGCGTGCCGCTAATTGTATGATGAAAATATGGAAAAAGCTACATCGTAGTGAAAGGGAGCTTGACAATAAAAATGCGTTCTGAGTATTAAATAAGACGAACATTCTAATCGTTACGCAATCCTGACGTCGAGAAACTTTATATTTATGCAAAACTAGGCAATCAAAGAATTACTAGACTATTAACAATTTATGGTCCATCTCCAATAACATTTGTCGAAATCGGTATTAAGTTTCATAGTATTTATTAAGAAAATAAAATAGTACGTAGGCCAGTTAACTAAATACCGTTAATATTGCTTCTTTCATCTAAAATTTCCTTAGGATAGTTGATGTAAAATAGAGTACAAGCAACTATTACCTTTTTAAAATCATCGACTGAGAAGAGACGTTTCTGAATTATATCTCGTGTGTATAGCCTTTATTTCTTGTATGTGGGCTTTTGATGGATGGTTCTAATTCAAAAATGAATAAATTCTTTAAATACATAGGCACATTTTTCATAAATGTGAAAAGAATTTTTAAACTTTAAAAAAATTAAAAAGGTTGCGATATACTATCCTTTAATGATAGAAAAGCTGAACATTTAGTTTATGAGGTATTGATATTGAACTAGTAACAAGTTTCTATGTGTCCAACGTTAAATGAATAACAGTTAAAACATTCATCTAAGCTTGAGCAATATTGAATTGTTAGCAATTCATTATGATTTACAGATATAATGCAATCAAATGGACATTTCGCACAGAGAGAAAATTACTAAACAAGTTTTGTGATTAATTTTGAATGTCCAACTCTTGAAATTAATTTGTTTGTGGCTTGTGTGGACCTCTTATTCTATTATATAGGTACTACTCTAATTATATTTGGTACTACGTTTAAATAAAGACTGTATACTTTCATCGTTTTTAAAATAAATAAATATTAAACAATAGCAGTAGTAGTAATACATTGCCCTTTTACATAGATCCGGAATAATATAGAAAAGTTCATTTTCTACATTGACCCGACCGGGAAGTGAACCCAAGACAAAGAAGACAACTACTTGAGAAATCTAGAAAATTTCGCATTCGCCCGGATAAATTTCGACATTCGAAAGGTAAATTAACATTTACATTTCATTTTGTTTTCAGTTTAAAACAAGACTACCGACCCACAGCTTTCTTATAGAAAAATTGCAAAAGCTATTGAGACGAGTTGGCTAATTTTATTATTTCAAAATCTATCACAATCTTTATTAAAAGTACGGCGTATCACTTTTGGATCGATTGCTGATTTGAATGATCGAGAAACGTTATAATAACTTAACTAAAGCCGTCGAAAAATTGCAGTTTGCATTTAGCTCATTCGTTTGACAATTCTCAATAGCCTTTAAACTAATATTTTAGTTAAAGTCGCCTTTGTGCATTAATGCATAAAGTATGAAATAAATAAATAAAAAATGTTTGCGTCTAATATTCCAGTTAAAATGTCAAATTAACGATATCTTTCATACAATATCTTAAAACTTCACGAGCGCAATCCCTATCACATGACAAATAGTCTTCCAAATTTTAAATTGAAAAAGATTGCGTTAAATTTTAAAATTAGGGCAAAATTTTTACATGGTAACATAATTGAATCGTTTGTATTTATTATTTTAGGGGAAGAATCGAATGATTTTGGAATTTGATTTTTGTATTAATATTTTTTTATTACCACGTTTTTTATTAATACGGACTCCACCGATGCCGTCATCAAAAGCGCGCGCTAAATGGCAGCATTTGAACGGCTAAAATTTGTTCAATGTTTTCAATTGCACTTTATAAAATAGTTAGACAATTTTCAAGTCTTTTTTTTTCTTTATAATACGGCTGTGAACGATTAATTTAAAAAATAAAAGACGTGTATTTTCCCTAATGCTTATATATTGAAATAATTATAAACACGTTTCATCATGAAGTTCCCACGGGAACAGCCTCTAGAGCGATGTTGAATTTAGCTAATGTTACTTATGATCAAACCTATCAAACTATAAAGCGATGCGTGGGCTTCCTCGAGTATCTTGATGAGATATAAATAAAAAACATATTTTTAAAAGTCAATTTCTTAAATAAAAATAAATGGATACTTGTATTACGTATTCAGTTATAAATTTACATGAGGTGCGAAATATTTAATTGAAGTGACAACATTCGAGCGTATGTATTTATTGATCATTATAAACACATGTTTGATAATATTTTATTTTATTTTGTCGAAAAAGAAACAATATCTGTAAATAAATAGATCAAGGTCATTTTAATTTATGCTGTCAGTTAGTATTACAGACGTTTATATAATATGTGTTTTTCCTCTGAGGAACTAACAAATTGCCAGTCAAACTAGTGATACAACCGAATTGGGTTCACGGTAAATTTTTATTTTTTATGAAAAATGGAAAAAAACGCATGTCTCAGGCTGCCAATCCCATTTTACTTTATGATTTTTTTCACCCTGTGAAGAACAAAATCAGAGTGCTAGGTTTGCAAAAATTGTAAGGTCGGACATTAAATAAAATATACTATTTCGGAGGGGACAGCAGGGGATGTATGGGACTCTCCTATTACGAAAAATATTCTCACTATCAGCTGTTGGGTTGTTGGGATAATGGGCCTTAATATCCCATCATGCGGGTCAAACTGGTGGGTGATATCGATTGAAGATGTAGCTAGAAACGCTTTAAAACTCTATCCGATACATAGTTACATTGTAAATTTGTGACCACCCATCCCATGAACGGTCTTAATCTAACTCAAAATTCCGTAATAGCAGTCCAAAGCCGATAAGCATTCCCACAAAAAGTTCCTCAGTTCGATCATGTGACGTAAATTAAAAAAAAGTTACAAAACGTTAGGTGGCGCCGAACCACAGACAATTTAATAATACTAGACTGAACGCACCTGTTCCCAGGTGGCTACGGTCGATGAAAGTGTTCTATTTCGAAGCCGGTTACTCATCGCTAATCTGTTTACTTTGCTAACAGACGCTTGCTGCCATTGACCTTGTATCGTGGCGTGGTGTTTAGAAAAAAAGACTAATAAATGCTTTTATGTAAACCAGCAGTGATTATTTACTAATGTCACCGTGAAGGACGTTAAATAAAGCGGGCGTGTCTCGTTTGCCGCCGTTTCAATATTAAATGTTTTTTTTTCTGTTCTATGAGAAAGTGTTATGATTTTCTTTACTTTTGTAGATAAGTTTTCCTCTGGTTGAAAATATTTTTGTTCAAGTTTTACTTAGCATTTTATTTAGAAAACCGGATGAGTAGTTTTTAGAGATATTTATTAGTTTATTATTAGTTTATCACTATCAAACTGCATTTTCAATTGTGAAAATAACTAAAATAAAAGAAGTGAAGTTATTATATTATAGAATACAGGAGTGAAATTATATTTCTGTAATTACATGTGACTATAGAAAAACATTAAAATCAACCAATTTTTTTATTTTGAATTTTGATTAGTTTAGTTTATTACACTTTATAAATTAATCCAACTGAATCGACATCTGCTTATATCGGGTCAACTTAAAAAAGAGTTTTACTTTATTTTTAATTCATTTACAGATAAATCTTATCAATTTTTACAGAGATTATTTGTGGTTTATTAAAAAGCCGTTATCCGAATTTCTTAATAACATTTTCATTTCGTTTAATGTCTGTGGTTATGGTTTATTTACCTTGCATTTTGCTTTAGGCTCGCTGTTATATTTCCGACATTAATAGTTTTCGGATACTGCAGTATCTATTTATTGGAGCAAAAAACGAATTTAACGTGTATGTGATTAAGATTATGACAATGTAAAAAATAAAACAATCTCCATACCTACAAGGGTTGCCGTGCTGACTGCAAATATCCTCTCTGGTGATCAATATGGCCACATCGTGATGGTGCGGGTTAGCATCATCATCGGGGTTTAGCTGCTGCTGCCAGCGGCAAAACGACTGGAGAGTGGTGTCTGCATTCGTCGTCACTTCTAGATCAGGAGCGGCACCCATCTCTTCAACGAATATAATCTTCACCACGACTACTTTTATGTAGTTTCCAATTGATGGGTCCATGTATAATGAAGAAACCTGGTAAAGTAAAAGAGTAAAGTAAGATAAGGTAAGTCACCTGAGTATTTTTAGTACGTTTTAACATAGAAGGTTAACGAAAGAAGAAAGTTTAACAATTTTCTTCCATAACCCTTATTTTACATAAATCGTGAAATGCTTTCTTGCAAATCTTTTAGCGTGATATAATATTATTTAAATATGTAATAGTTAATCAGATAAATGTGAATATGACTATAAACGTTGTGCTGATTTCACCGCTAACGTTCGAAATTGATAGTTGGATATGTCAGAGAGAGCATTTACAACTAAAATAAACGTAGTCGAGATGCGAGCGTTACGTAGATTCTCAACCTGCACGCGTAGCATGACAAACTCGAGAAACGCTTTGTCTACACTCATTTGTCAGTTTCTCGGGTCGAGAGTGAGATACCGTATAGGCGAACCCGAGATAATGACATTTCAGTGTAGACAAAACGTTCTCGTGCTGCGGTCATAATTAAAGAGGTAAGATAAATAATAGACTTGAAAGTTTGTTGGTGTAAAAGATGGATGGTAGAGGCAAGATCAGCTCGATAGGACATATTGAATGTATGTCGATGGTACTAAGATGAAACAAATATAAATACGAAAGCGGAAAGTCAAAAAGCGTGTGTGATTGTACCTAAAGAGTAATGACCGTGTCGTTGTGATGTTTGATCATTTCTTCTTATGCCGCAGAAGGTTTGGTGAGAAGATATGGATAGGAAATTTTTTTTTTTTTTAACTCTGCACTACATTGCTCGTCCATGAATATTTTTCGACCCTCGACAAATGATGTTTTATTTGTTATGACTTATTGTAAATTGGTAGAAAAAAATAAACTAGAGCTTACCATGTTCATAATAGTGAGTAGGTAGGTTTCTAAGTTGTTCGCATCGTGGAAATCTGTCATTGATCGGTCAGCTACAAGCAATACCTCGACGTGGCGCGGCTTGCTTACCGAACGCGTCGATCGGCGACCAGCTTCTCTACCGTTTTGATGCTGTTGCCTTTGATTGTTCCTTTGAGTATACTGGGAAAACGAATCGCTTATATACTAATACTGTATGTAGAATATCATAAAAAGTAGCAAAGAAAAACGGACAGATAATATGCATAATTCTTTCCTTTTGTTCTAAAAATCAAGGTATTATTTTTAAGCAGGTACAATTTGTAATAATAGGAATTAGGTGTTTCACCAACCTTATTGTATTCAGATTTCCTATGCGCCTCAATTTCATGACTTTGTAAATTCTTAGTCTTCCATTGGTATGGAGGCTGTTTCGTTGCGCAGTTCTTCGATCGTCTACGTCTCCTTCGTCTGCTCTTGATGCGACGCGGTCTCAAGACGTTGTTAAGGTTTTTTCGATTTTTTATCCTCGCTCCCATATTATGCTCAATCGATTTACTCTCCGATGACGTACTTTTCGAACTGGTTGCCAGTCGTCTCTGTTCCATACGCAATCTGGCCTGTTGTCTTCTGTATTCAGTAGGATTCTTTCTCATCGCTTCTAATTTTCTTCGTCTCGCTTCCAAGTATTCTCGTCGGCGACGATCTGCAGCCAACTTGTGTTCAAGTTGACTTCTCGATGTTTCGTGTGATTTCGGACGTTGAGTGCGTTTACCATGACTGTCATTAGAATTATCGGAATGTGTCCTTTGTATTTCTCTTTTAGCTCTATGATACGCCTTAACTTTATCGACCGCTGATCTTTTGAAAATAACATGCGGTCTCCCTTGTTTGCTATTGGAGGGTATTTGGTTAGATGGCTCGATCCAGAATTCACCATGTTCTGTTCGTAATAAACCTGCCTGTAACAAAGAAACTAATTATAATACGCGTTCCTGATAAATTGGTACTTGATAATTAATAATTATTTGTACTTGATAGTTAATAATAAATATTTCTAATAAAAAACTGTTTAAAAAATCAACCAGCGACAGGTACTCTGAGATGGGACTCGAACCCACGACTTTTCGCAATACGGGCGACAGTTCTAACCACTGAGCTACTCAGGACCCAACAAAACCATTTATTCATTAAAAATATTTTCCAGCATAGTATTGTGAATGCAAATTTTATCAAACATAATAATTTATATTAATTTAAAATGTTTAACAAAACTATGTAGGTAAATTGTGAAGCTTGAACAGATATTTGTTGACCAGGTGCACCATGGTAACATTTTGTACTTATTACCAACAATTTATAGCCAGTGCGTGTTGAAACAGGCATCGTTTGACTCGTTAGCGCTGCGTTTCCCAGACTTGAAGTGAATTTCCTGTCTCCGCGATATGGCCTAATTGACATTTGTTCGTTGTTAAACCAGAGTCAGAATCGTTCTCATTTCAAGAATCTATGTACATTTTACTACAGTATACTGCATTTGTCACGGTCACGACACGAAGATTATAACCCTTATATAATAAAACTAGGGGGAGTTATCAAGGAGTGACAAACAAACAATAAACGTGTAAAATAAAAGACATATTATAGTTCTAATATGCGTCCATTGAGTGCTGTTAACCGGTTTGATCACTTGTGGGTCAACAAATCTGCCGTCTGCCGGCCGGTAACGATAGATAAATTGATTGATAACGAACCAAGGCGGCTTTGCGCGAAATTTAATGGAAACTATTCCGTCTGAACAGATATATCTTGATCAGCTTACTGCTTTGATTGTAGCGGAATGATTTGTGTTTGATATTAAACTGCATTTCCTTTTAGATAGCTAAATTGATTTCATATTTGATAATTTGTAGTATCTAGATTTCCTACTTAATTTAAGTTCAAGAATTAATAGTCATTAGTAATACTAATGTAAATGTGAATTCTGAATGATAGCTTCATTAGTATTAGTGCTTAAGTTTAAATATTTGCAAATTAGTCGAAAATCGTATCTGAAATAAATATATAACGACGGTATTGCTTAAATATTTATCTGTGTATCATGCCAGCCTGTATGTCGCCGACCTTGCGGAACGGAAGGCCGTCCGTGAAAGTGTTGGCGGGCGGTAAGATAAGAGATTATCAACAACGATATGCACTTCTGTAAATCGTTATAGAGTCACAAGATGTCAAATAATACTTATCCATTATTTTGTTAGTCATTTTAAATGGAAATATGGAGGCGTTAAATAAATTGAATGCGTGTTAATAGTAAAGTTAAATTGCGCAAATTTTGAATGTCAAATGATTGGATTAGTCCTTTTACATAAGTTGTAGGCAGACTCACTAGCCATTATAGTTGGCCCATAGTTGCTTTAAATTATTCATATAGGGCAAATACTGTTACTAGTTGGAATATTGAAGAATAATCTAGGAGGTTTTTTTTATTAGATTATTAAAAAACAGCTACCGAAGAGAAAAACAAATTCGGCAACAGGTTACTGCTATGCATAATAGTATATATAATATTTTTGTCGATAGAACCCGTTTTAGAATCTTATATTCGCAAGAAAGTGAACCAGTAAACTTTGGAAAGAAATGTCAAAGTCTGCCTACATTATTAGATTAAAATGACTAGATTAAAAATATGAAATTTTTAATAAGAATAAAGTAATTTGCAATAAAAAACCTCAGTTAACAATGCTGTGACTGTATCGAGAATCGGATCCGTTTTCGTGAATGAACACTGCCAATGTGGTGGAATAATAATTTCGAGTTGAGAAATAAAAGCCAGTCGAGCGCAAGTTGGATTCGCTCATGAAGGGTTCCATACCGAAAACGAGTTAAAACCGTACCGAAAAAACACGATTGTTGTGTGGGAGCCCATCTAAATATTTATTTTATTTTGTTTTTTAGTATTTGTTGTTACAGCGGCAACAGAAATACATCATCTATGAAAATTTTAACCATCTAACTTTCGCTGTTATTGAGATTGAGCCTGGTGACATACAGACAGCGAAGTCTTAGTAATACGGTTCCCGTTTTACCCTTTGGGTACGGAACTCTAAAAATCACGTTTGTTGTTTGTTGTATGGAGCTGCTCGAAATTTTCGAGCAAAATACAATTGGTCGACCATTTACTCGTAAACTTTTAAAGCCATAAGTGTGATGGTTATTCTTTTAAGTTCGTTAAATACAAATAGGTTCTACCGCCGTGACGTTTAAATTTCTAAAAACAACCGTTTAGTTGGTAGAGAGGGGGAAAGAAAGCAAAATTTTAAGGGTGTGTTTTATATTTCATTAATTTGCTATAACATAGTCAATATAAAAGATTTGCATGTTGCCAGAATTGTTGTTGAACTAGCCATAATTCGACAATTTATTTTTTCTGTAAATGTGTGCTGAAAACGATCTATCGTTAGTAATTTTCGAATTACGCGGCGTCGTTATATAAAAAGCGATATGTAAATCGAAAATTTTTTGTTCATGTTCCAAATGTCATCTTTTAAACGGCTACATTGATGTCTTTATCTATGAATCTATATTTCCGATGTCTATTGTTTTATTGAAATACACTTTAGCGCGTGACTATATTTATCTAATAAATGTTCAGTTAGATCGTGATTTAACACTTTGAATTTGATTTTAATATAGAGATGATGGTTCATTATATTTGTTTGGCTCCGTAAAAATTGTTTTGCAGATATAACCATAGCTTTCGAGTGTCCGTAGAAAGTTAAATCTTAATGTTGCTAAGGGAAAGCAAGAAATTGATGACGACAGACGGTTTAAAAAATAATTTATATGTTAATATAAATAGCATATCTACATTTATCGTTTTACAATAATTTAGTTGTTATTTATGAATATAACGATTCAATTAATGGTTTCAATTTAAGAAAGATTGTTTAAGTTATTTTAAATGTTATTAAAAATGTCAACACAACTGCTAAAGCGTTTTATCAGAAATTATTTAAATAATATAGTATGTGGTTTTCACACGTTTTGCAAATATTGACCATGTTTTCCAAGAATATCTCCTCTAAATGTAAATTACTACATCGCTATCTTTGAAACTTGCTTTATTCACTTCGAGTGACCAGGGATTTAAAAATAGTCAGATTTTTAAATAAAAGCTCGCCTTCGTTGTTGCTATGCACTTCAATACACGTCACAATTGATTTTTCGAGCACAATATACATATATATTAATCGTTAAAGTGTAACCCTAACTTATCCTGCGAGACATATATTTTAAATTCCAAAACTTTTTATTATACAGCTACAGTAGCAACACCTTATAATCATCATGAAAAAGAATCTTAACAAACCGTGATTAGAATTCCTTTTTCCGTTAGTTACGGAACCCTAATTACATTATAAAATTCCGACTAAAAACGATCGTTTCTAGTGGGTTGCCTAAACAAAAAGCGATCATGAAAAATATTTAATAACTGTCAACAAAAAAATCACAATGTATATTTAAAATGGACGCCTTTTTCAATTAATTCCTATGGGGTTATGCATTTTAATTATATAGCATCCGTGCGAATAAAAAGGGGAATGCCATAATATTAATGCATGTGCACAAAAATAGAAGAGTAGGAAGTGTGATTAATGGATCCTGATGCCTGCCCACATGCAGTGGAATTATGCGTGCGCGGCGCGGGCGCATCTAGATTCTTAGTCTTAACAATTGTGTTTACTTTAATAAATATGAAAGTTTAATTTATTTTAATTCAAAATCAACTGAAAATTTATTTGCACAAAATGTGGTAACAATACGGTCCATAATAAAGAATGCGTTCGTTCTAATAAAAAATTGGAATGGGTTCTGAACCATGATGTAAATCAAAATAACATGGCTCTGAAATACTTTCCTATTCCATTTGTCCTCGAACGATAATTCGAAAAAAAATGAATTTTGCTAACGTCATATCCGTGAAGATTAGCTGTGAATCAGAAGCAGTGTCACGTCTTACTTCCGTTGTATCATAAATTATTGAAAAATGTCTTTCTTAGGAGTCGTATTAAGCATTCGAAAACAGATGAAATTTCTTTTTCGCAGAAATAGCAATGTACCAGTAATATGTTTTCAAAACTAATTTCGGGTCTTTTCAAGGTTATTGAAATACTGAACTGAAATGAAGTCGCTTTTATGTTAATAGTTCAAAATATTTCTTCACACAATCCTACTAATATTATAAATGAGAAAAGTTCTTTGTTTGGATGTTTGTCAGTCAATCACGCCGAAACTACTGAACGGATTTTGAAGAAATTTGGTATACAGATAGGGTATTAACTGATTTAGATAATAGGATACTTTTTATCCCACTAAACATTTCCCTCGGGACCACGCGGTCGAAGCCGCTGGCGAAAGTTAGTATGTGTAAATTTCAATCATGTTTGAAGACATATAGGATAACTAATACTCTTTATAAATAAATAAACTGTTATAATTTAATGACATAATAAGGTACAGATTATAATATTAACCGTGCGTAGGAAAGTTGATAAAAATATATATTCAATTCAATGTTGTCAACCCTATGACATTTCATTCAACTGTTGTAATTAATTCATAAAAGACGTTGTATAGATACATTAGTTGCAAACTTGGATCAAAAGGTCGATATCATTGTGCTTAACATGTTCAATAATCGGAAGACAAAAGATTATCTCAAGTTTCTGAATGAAACCTCTGACATGATGAATGAGTCTAAGTTTACGAATATTAATAAAACATGTTTTTCTTGTTTTTATTTTTTGATATATATATTTCACGAAAGAAAGGGAAAATAATGTAGGAGGCCTATACTCGTAGAGAAGTCTTTAATGATAAATAAGACTATTTGACATACACATAAATTTAATTTATTATATTAATGAATTCATATTGATTTATAGAATACAACTAATTTAATGACAATTTATTTAGATTGTAAAATTATTAATATTAAATGTTATTAAGGAAATAAATGGCTTTATTATTAATTATAATTCGAAAAGAATTACATGATCTTTTTATATTTGGAGTCTATTAAATGAACTCTTTTCTTAATCTTTTACAGTTTATAATATTCTTTTTTGTTGTTTGGTCAATTCTAATTAATTTTAAAGACTACATGAAGGTAATTGTAGACATCCGCTAATTAAGTTGTTATATCACACGAGGAAATTATGCCTCGAAGGTGTTATAATTATCTGGTTGTAAGATATCGACACTCTAAAATTATGCGAGATATTATTTAATTTTTTGTTAGGGTTGTGTTCAAAAGAACTTAAAGTAACTAACAAGATTAAACAATCTTCAACAAATCATGGATTTTTATGTAAACATATACCGTTATTAATAATTAATTTATTTGTGGAATTAATATGTTAAAATTACGCTCAGGTAATATTCTTCTTAAAGGTTCTGCGTTTCTCATGGGCAAAAAAATCCCCATTTTGTTTTGAATGTGAACAAATGCAAGTCACATTATGATGAAGTGTTTTCGAAATGATAATAAAAGAATACAGTTTTTTTAACATTAGAAATATCAATGTTCATAAAGTAGATTTAAGTAATATTATGTAGGCCTTTCCCCTTTTAGGAGATACTAAGATGCGAATAAAAATATTTTTTTAAGCATATTTAAATAGGTATAACAATATATTGTTACTGAAAGTTCGACACAGACATGATTATGTTCAATTAGTGTATGCGACGCCCACGTTACTATCAAGGTTATTTGTTAAACATAAATATTTAATAGCATTATATTATACCGCGATTGATCACCGACATCATCACAAATGAGCAAGTGTTAATTGTAACGCTTATGTCAAAACAACTAACTTTTGCACCGGATATGGTGACATCTACTTTTTTATAACTACATATTACATTCCAAATGATCGCACCTGTTCTGTATTGAATAATAAATGTGACAATATTTGTCATGATAATTGAAAACCGGTACTGTAAGAATTTTGAATTATCATATGCATTTGGTTTGTTAGTAAAATAAAAAAAAATTGCCGTTTTCATTAATAAGTGGGTACTTCCCTTTAGTTCAATGTTAAAATTGTATTCTATATATTTTCTTGCTAATAAAATCTTATTATTATTAGTTTAAATCACATAATATATGGTTGTAATTTCTTCTCATTGCAAAATATAGGATTCAAAAAAGCATGGGGCTTAGAATAGAACCTTGAGGTACATCAGCGTACATCATTATAAGCTAAAAATTATACATATCTTAATTAAAAGGTCATGGATATTAAGCTTACGCAGGAAGTCAATTATCCGGGTTATTTACTGTATCCGTTTCTTTACAAATTATAAAGTAAACAGCACCTATTAGTTTCTTAAATTTTAACGCGCATTATCAATAAATAAATAAAAACTTTTAAACGGTAAAGACAATCAATACCTTAGTCTTATGTGAACACAGAACCTGTAAAGGGTCCGAAACGTCAATAAAATTAAATATAAAGGCGATGAAACCGTTTAAAAGTTTTTAATTTATAGCACCTATTAATAATTTGTCATAATTGTTATTCGAAAAATAATACTATACTTTTATCGTAGGATCTGGTCTGAGTTACTAACTTCTTACTGACATCTATATATCAATAATAAAATATAGAGTACGAGTGTATGCAAAAATATATAACATACTTTTGTATAAAAATATACAAAAGTATGTTAACCTAGCTTTCCTCTTACAAAACATTAATAAAAAAAACATTTCTGACTTTACCTCTTACAAAACATTTGTGACTTTTTGTTTTCATTTCAGAGCAACAATATGTAAACAAAGAAATTTATTTACATTACATTAATAGGTTCAAGGTAGAAGAAACAACAAAATGTTTACCAAAAATGTCATTTTTTACTATAGAATCCGAATAAGTCTATATGTTTGTTGTAAATATTTTGTCTTCGTTTACGTTAAGGACCACAACTTTCTATTCTACGATGTCATTTTGTAGTATTGTCACTCACCAGTCCATCGCATGCTGAGAGGGCTATGCTGGATGCAGGTTGTCCCCGAACTGTGCCAGTGTAGTGACAGCTGGTTGAGTCCGGGTGTGGTCTGTCGCGCGTTCGCCCGCCCGCTCTGTGCCGCTCCACTATCATCGCAGGAGTTATGAATGACACCGACGGCCTATACAACAAACAAAATGTAATATTGAGTTTGATCGCCTTGGAGTAGCTTTGCGATTCTGTAAAAAAAAAATGCGAAACGAAACGTCACGTACAACTCTGTAACAGACCACTGAGATCCGATTTATTAAAACCTTTTGCTTTTTGAAGCCGGTTTTGTGTTTGAGTCAACCTCTAAACTGTGACCGACTTATATTCAACGTTGAGTTCAAAGCAGAACCATTCATTATATAAATCCCTCTAAAAGGAGTAAAATTAACAGAATGATTTTTCTTTGGCCAGCGTAAAAATATAACAATGTGTATTAAAACACCTATTAATAAAACAGAAAATATTGAATAATAGATTGGATATGTCTTTTACATTCAACTACTGCAAGATCTCAGATCTCTTACCAAATGAGACAAATTTTATGTAAATCATTAGGTTTGTTAGTATGTGTTGAACTATCCTTACAACTAAGTATCAGCTGTATCGTAAAAGACAAAATGTAAATAACCGTAAGAAGAAGCCCTTAAAAATAATTAAGTATTTAGTGAAGAATTGTAAAATGAGTCAATGGGAAGTAACTTTATGAGAAAATTAACATGTTAATAGCGGACGACGACGATTTACAAATGTTAAGTGGATAATAAACGTATAGAAAGAGGGATAAACAGATAATTGAATTCATAATTTAAAGTTCTTCGTTGATATTTCGCTTTGAGAATCATTAAGAGTACGCCTGGAATGCTCAGTCGGTTTACTCAACGAACATCATCGGTCATTATTGTGTAGCCCGACGTCTCGCAAGTCTAGAATTCTTGCACGCGCAGATGTATAAGGTATTTCAAAATAAAATTATAAACCTCTAGAAGCACTTAATGTGTAAAAATTTTGTTTTTCTGCGTTATCCTGTTCACAAATATAATTATCAAAGAAGTATCGTTCATAAATGACTTATTTCATACGAATTTATAGTTTTATGAATACCTACTAAAACAGTCAAAATAACAATAATGTTTCTAAAAAAATAACTTGATTAACCTTACCTTAACAAGACAAATTAAAAATATAATCAGATCAGCATATCACCACAAAGTGTCGAACATTGAAAAATGTCAGCGAATAGCTATAAATCGAAGTCGCATAAGCGCATATCGGCCAAGGAATCTGTCCAGTATATAGCAACGACCATAAAAAGTAGATTTCGCACAACAGTCTGGCACACGGTCAAGATTTATCGAGCAATACCACCAGCGGCCTTAGATACCGAGAATTTGTGGTATGCTGCATTTTATTTATTTGGTTCCGAAAAGGTAAATGTTAGTGTTAGAGCTATTATAATAAACTTAGGATATCAAGTCGAGTTGAATATCTGTAGTTCTAGTTCTATAATCTAAATAATGTAGTCCACAGGTTTAGGTTCAGGATAGATTTATGATATTGCTTTTTATAAGTGATATCATTAATCTGTCACATTCAGCAATGCGCGACAAGATGATGCAGTTTGTTAGTGTCTATTAAATCGCCATCCACATTTGCTAGATGTGATTTAAATGTTATTTTCAGTTATGTCAACCTACGAAGATAAAAATATATGTAAGATCTTTGCTCTAGCTGAAATTTTCTAAGTCCGTGAAAGCTTTCTGCAAATTATACATATCGAAGTGTCCTCGATTTGACTGCAAATAGGAAATTTTAGATAACTTTTCTAAAAATCAACAACCATCTTTGGCATCGATACGGAATGTTTGTCTATATCAGCCTTCAGCAGGTCTGAGCATCATAGATCTGTTAACATATCGAATGGCGCGGCTAAATACACAGATAACGCTCATCATGGCAATTAGCCGTGCAAACAACGCCGTCCTAGTTGCTTGCTGGACTCGAAGTTGTGTTGACACAATTGTTATTCGTGTGGCAAAGTGCTACTGATATTTATTTGATATAAATGTATCGAAATCGCGTGGATTTTATAATTTAACAAGTTATTAGAACTTTATATTTGCATTAGAACAATATTCGAGGAACTGTATTATAATGCCTAAGAGCTAAAAGCAGTGTGTGATGATTGGCTGGTTTCAAAGATTCGATGACTCCAATACATCGTGGGCAGTGGTCGTGGTCCCAAACTATTTTTTGTCTATAGTTTAACCTGCGACAATCATTGACATTGGTTGATAACGAGAAGAATTGACGTAAAGTTTCAATTTTATGAAAACAAGCTTTCCGTCGCACACACATTTTTGAATCATTCAGTTTGATATAAAAATCCGTTGTGTAATAAAAAATATCTCAGCGTACAGACAGCAAGCAGTAACTTTCTTATATATTTTGTATATATTAAAAAAAGAAGTAACAGTGGCAGCGTTTTTAAATATATAATTCCAATATAAATGAATTAAAAACAATTTCTTCTCCATACAAAATTTAAATAGATTTACACTTCTAGGCAGAAAAATAAAGTGAAGTGTGAATAGATTCAGTGACCCATTTTAAACAACTAAGTTACGTCAATACATTAATATAAATATGTACATAATATAAGATACCGCTACACAAATAAAAAGGATTCATTGGATTTCGTATAACATGCATTTATAAACAATCTATATATAATCAATGTTTAAGCTATGACATAAGAACTTATACCACATAAACCGCCCTTTCTTTCCCAAAATTAATTGTATATATTGAAATTTACTTTTGCATAACGTCTTTTTATTGAAATAATATAAAAACATATAAATTAAAGCAAATTGCAATCGCTGTTGTCGATTTGCTAGGACTGGTGGATTTTTTAAGCATTTTTTCATCAAACATAATTATCAGTAATAACGTTGTTAATACAAAATTAATAAAATATGATGAAATCTAGGTACTTAGTTGAAATTGCTAAATAATTATTTAGATTGCGGAAAGTAATACGTTTCGTTTGTAATATTTAAAATAAATATTTACCTTCCCTACTGATCACTGTCACGTAGTTTTTCTCTACCATTATTTCAGCCGTATTAGCCACATTATTTATACGAATTGAAATCACGATTTGCCATTTTGTAGTTTCACATCTGCGTTATGTTAGCAGTTACCAAGACATAATCGTTTATCTTCTCTGAGTAGGTACGATGTTATTATGTAATAATTTATGTAAAAGCGTGGCATGATTATTAAATCCGATACTTGTTAGTACCTATTAGAGAGGGCGTAGCTTTTATAATCAAAGATCTATTCTGAGACTTCAATAAATGATCAGACGTTACTTGATTTTTTTAATTGTCCAATCATAACCTTATTATGCAATTAAGTTTTTGTTTTGTTTAGCACCTATGTTAAAATAAATTATTAATTTTATATCATTTCTTTTCCTTTTTTTTTTATTTTGTCATATAACTATTCTGGACTAAGATCTGTTAGTTTACTATTTACAGGAACCTGTGACCTGTATAATATAACAGGTTCAATGCTTCGCACAGCAATCTTCTACAATCTTGAAAAATATTGTAATTTTACGTTTCTCTACTGTAAACTATGGATATAAATACTTTTTGTTGAGAGAAATATGATTTTATTCGACGTTCGAAATTAAAAACATCTGATATTGGACCTGCTTCGACACATGTAATACGATCACCGGACGACCTTACTTTTTTTATTTCAGTTATTATTTTCTGAGTGCATAACATTAAAAACCTAGGTACTAGGACCCCAGTAATGTGCGGACATTATTACTTTACTACCTTCTAGGAACAAATATTACTCCCGTACAACCTCGTACTAGGTTAACCTTTGTTGTCATTGTTTAATAATATGAATTTTGACTAACATTAAGTGCAGCCTCAACGTAAGTTTACTCCAACGCTAAACCTTGTTAATAAAAAATACTGATAGAGTTCGTCTGTGACCTTTTCCCAGTTAACTTTTATGATCTGAAAACAACACTAGTCATGCGAATACCCATATAATTGACATAAATAAGCAATGTAATCGTTTCTGGCACAGTAGTATTGTAAATAATAGTTAGCATTATAAGCTTTTCTATGATCTTATTAATTTGCACCTATATTTTGAAATTAATTAATAAAAAAATTAAAAACAATAAAATAAGAAACATTAAATATTTCCTAGCTAACTATAGTCTACTATCCTACAAAACTATCAATAGAATTCATAAGTGTATGTTGTACTCATGTAGCTTACAAAATTTAATAGTAACTAATTATTTTATTAAAATATTGTATAAATATTTTCTTTACGAAATTTTAACACTTCTTTTTTTTAAATCTCGTTGTGCAGATTATACGATCTTAGTAATATTATAGTGCAGATTTTGTGAGTATTGTATGTAAGTATGCGGAGTCTATTTACTATAGCATTTACTTGAAAAATTATTTACCCATTTGGAAGATATATTATTCTGGATAGACAAACAATATATATATATATATATAAATACAGACAAAATCACGCACAGAAGTTAGTTCATAAATGCATCAATTCAACACATGAGTGCATTCAACCAAAATTAAATCTTTACTTTGTTGCTCCTTTAATGAATCTTTACAGACCAAATTTTTTATATCCAAGTTCCACAAATACCTGAGAGATATAACCCTATTTCGCTTCTTCTGAATTTAACTTTTTGTATATCTACGGTGTGAACATGAGACGCATATCAAAAATTTTGATCTTAACACTTCGAAGTGTTAAAATACGTGGAAATAACATACCTGAATATTTAAAAAAAAAGAAAACAAAACAACTAATGGAATACAATAACGACAAGTTCCAGTAACCGCACGCTACCTAGCTACATAGTATTAATATACTCAGGTGAAAAAATATCACATTCATTTGTATTTTAATGCTTCGCTATAACCATCAGATAAGGAGGTCTTCGTTATCACGAGTTTTTAAGAGTGTAAATTAAAATATTAGATCCCACTTCTGGCTTTTGCTAAAATAATTTTCAATTAATTAATCGCAAATTATTATGATGGCTCTTAACTGCGACTTACA